GGCCCCCACACCTCACGGGGGGCCCCCGCAGCTGCCTGGGGGGCCCCCACAGCTGCTTGGGGGTCCTCACACCTCACGGGGGGCCCTCTCAGCTCACGGGGGGCCCCCACAGCTGTCTAGGGGGCCCCCAGTGCTGACTGGGGGCCCCCAGAGCTCACTAGGGGGCCCCCAGGGCTGATCCGGGGGCCCCCAGGGCTGACTGGGGGGCCCCCAGAGCTGTCTGGGGGGCTCTCACAGATGCCTGGGGGCCCTCAGAGCTCCTTGAGGGTACCCAGAGCTGTCTGGGGGCCCCCAGAGCGGTCTGGGGTGCCCCAGACCTCCTTGGGGGCCCCCAGACCTCCTTGGGGGGCCCCAGACCTCCTTGGGGGCCCCCAGACCTCCTTGGGGGCCCCCAGAGCTGGCTGGGGGGCCCTCACATCTCCTTGGGGGCTCCCGGGGCTGTATGGGGCCCCCTGTTGCTGTCTGGGGGCCCGCAGAGTTCTTGGGGGTCCCTAGAGCTGACTGGGGGGCTCCAGAGCTTCTTGGAGAGCCTACAGGGTTGCTTGGGGGCCCCCAGAGTTGCCTGGGGGCCCCCAGAGTTGCCTGGGGGGCCCCAGTGCTGTCTGGGGGTCCCCAGGAGTTTTCTGGGGGCCCCCACAGCCGCCTGGGGGCCCCAAAACACTGCCTGGGGGCCCCACAGAGCTGCCGGGGGGCCCCCAGAGGTGGCTGGGGGCCCTGGGTACCGACCCCTTGAGGGCCCCTCTGGGGGCCCCCAAGGGGGCCCCCAGAGGGCCCTTCTTGGGGGCCCCCTGGGGGCCCGCTGGGGGCCCCTGGGGGCCCCCTGGGGGCCCCCGGGGGCCCCTGGGGGTCTTCGCAGTGGGAGTGTCCCTGACATTACTTCATTTGTTCTTTGGTGTTTGTACTTCAGAAGTTTTTGGAGTTATTTGGATTTAATTTTAATTTAAATTTAATGATTTTGGATTCGACTTTGTTCTGGCAACTGCGGTGTACGTACACCCGAGGAATCCTTGGGGCTGGACCAAAAGGCTTTTCTACTTTTGCTGCTCCGCTGCAGTGCGCCAAACCCTAAGCCCTAAACCCTAAACCCTC